GTCAGGCTTTCATTACGGCTCCCAGCCTCAAACCACCATCTTGTCTAAAGAGGAAGGAGCCGGGGGGTAAAAAAAAAACTACACAGATCCCAACCTCTAATTAACACAGTAATGATCCACTGCACCACAGCCCGTTCATCTAAACTAAATATAAAGGTCTGTCTGCAGCAGGTCCAGACCCAGAGCCAGATATTAAAACAACAGAGGAAGTGATGTCATCACGCTCCTCGCTGCTGCCATCTTTAACTCAACAGATGCTCGGATTTAAACAGAAAACACTTCACAGTTTTGACTTCACGTCTTCAAACCTGTGTCTTTGAGATTCATCCTTCAATTTAAGAAACTATTTGGCATTAAAATCTAAAAGCATCAGACTTTAGAGAAAGAAAGGAAAAAAAGTCTTTGCAAGGTTTAAAAATCAAGCATTTAACTGTAGAAACTCTGTAAAACACAAAATGAAGCCCAAGAACTATTTTTTGTTGCAGTTCATATTATGGCCTGTAGGGTAAAAAGACAACATTTCTGTGGTTCTTGGAGTCACGTGTCAAACCGTGTTGATGTGTTTTCTCTCAGGTGATGTACTTCAGCTCCCTGTTCCCCTACCTGGTGCTGATCTGCTTCTTGATCCGGTCTCTGCTCCTGAAAGGCTCCGTCGACGGGATCCGACACATGTTCACACCTAAGGTACAGTAACACACACGTCAGAGACGACGGAAACTGTCGCTCAGTCACAGTTTTTATCACCTTCACATTTTTACACCATGGAAACATTTTAGTCAGAGATTTCTTTTTTTTTTTTTTTTTTGGAAATATGCATGAACCTAAAAACATGTCTGCACTGCCATTGGCTGAATCCTCAGCTGCGACAGGCCAATGACACCTGGAGCTGATAGTCGTGTTGCCGTGGCAACCTGGAGTTACTGAGGGAATTTTGCAAGAAATCTGAGGATGTTCCTCACAGTGTGTGCTCTCCTCAGCTGACACTGCACACATCCAGACACCACGCTGTGTCTGTTTTTTCTGTGCCCTTGTCGGTGGCTGTGGCCGTGTCTGTGTCTGTGTCCGTGGCTGTGTCTGTGGCCCTGTCTGTGTCTGTGTCCTCACTGGACTCCACTCTGCTGCAGTGGTTCTGGTTCTGCAGCCTGGACCGCTGTCAACACATTCAAAGAAAATACTACAAAACTCCACCAAACACAAGTGAAAACTCAAGAAAATATTCAGATTTAAATGAAGTTTTTCCTGCTGTACCTTCTTGCCCCTGATGCCACACCTCCGTGCCCCGTAAAGGGGCTGCTACAGAAAAATAGTGTTTCTGTTCAAAAATCCATAAGGGTTAAAATGTCTTTGTTTGTGTCGCCCTGTCTGGAAACCCCCCCCCCCCCCCCCCCCCCCCCCCGCTACTAGACCGCCCAC